GAAAGATCTCTAGCACCTGATGGCAATTCCCAAGGAAGGGTTTAAGGAATGTGAACGACAGCAACAGCTCCGGGACTGTAAGGAAGCTTCTGAGGCCATCATGATACTTCCCTGACATTAACACTCACTTGGAGAGCTATATTCTGATATTTCGCTTTAAAAAAACAAAATCATTACCTGTACTACCTACACTTATATACACCGGGATTCGAAGCCTGGCCAAGTTTGATGGTTTTTTTAATCAGTTTTGGTGAGCCTTTCAGGAACCCTCACAAGTATTCGTTTTTTATTTTAAACTTGATGTTGTAAAACATTAACACAAAAGGGAAAGAGTGAAAGTGTACATGTGAGCTGGAATGTGCGGCAATCTTACAGAAGAATGATTTCATAGAACACAATAAAGCTTTGTTTTGCTGTGTTGATCTTTTCCTGCATGACTAGGAGAGTCTCTTCACAACCCAACCCTGTCTTCTCAAGTCCATCTCGGCCAATGTTACCTTCCAGTCTTTGTTATTCCATGGGTCCTGATGCCTACTCTCCCTCTGCTTTTTCCAGTAGTACTCTCATCCCCCTGAATCCCCATCTCCATCAGTCCATCCATTTACCCAACCACCCCCTCAAGAGATATGGATTGCATTTCTCCTTCGTGGACAGCCACATGACGAGTTCTAGCAGAACCAGGACAGGACCCAGATGGAACTGGAGTTTGTGAAAAGAACAAGAGCTTTGGAGGCACACACATTGGGCTTAAGCCCCAGGTCCATCACTTACTAGCTCTGAGACCTTGGGCAAGTTACCTATCCTCCCTAAGCTGCAGTTTTCTAGCTGTACTTGGTGAAACTAAGGCTCTTATGGGGATTACATGAGATTATGAGCTAAAGTATCTGAAACCAACTGGGTGCTCCTACCTTGTCTCCTGATTTCTGCTCCATGTTCATGTTTTGATGAGGTTGCACTAATGTCAAAAGCCTTCAATTTTAGAAAAAGATGTATTATGTTGTTGATGAGAGTGTAATTTGGTACAACCCTTATGGAAAGCATTTAGGCAGTTAGCTCTCAAAATTATAAATGTGCATACCCTTTGACCTAGTAATGCCACCTCTGGGAAATGGTCTTACAGTTATGCTTGCATACTTTCAAAATGATGTATGTGTAAAGGAATTCACTGCAGTCTTGTTTGCAATGGAAAAGACTGGAAACAAATCAAATGCCCCTTGCTGGCGGTCTGGGTAAATAAATTACACAACGGATTCTTAAACGAGGGTAAAAAAGGAGAAAGAAGTACTCTGTATTATAGAGAGATTATAGAAAGAACTCCATATTTTTAGCTGAAAGAACAAGGTAAAGAATAATGGGTATAATACACTATATTTTATGAATAAAGATGGGAGAGGGAAATAATATTTGCAGTATATAAAGAAACTTTGGAACAATATACAAAAAAAAAAAGAAAACCTAATAAAAGTATTTACCCATGGCTGTGATTGGAACTAAGCAGATGGTGGGGCTAGGGTGGGAGGTATACTTTTCACTGTACGCGTTTTTCAAATGTTTTCAATTTTTTGAACCACGCACATAGTTCTTATATTCCATTATAATTAGCTGTATGTAATAATCAGGCCCACCACAAAGACTTACTGAGCATTCTCTGTGCCAAGCTCTAGAGGTGACACAAAGACATACAAGACTCAGTCCAGAGACTTCTAGCACTTGAATGAAAGTGATCCCATTTATATAATATGTGTATGCCAGAAAAGCCTATAAAACTCATTTTAATGCTAATGATGTTTGTTCTTCAATTACAAAGAAGTGTTTGTCTACTTAGGACTGAAATGTCACTGTGTGAAAATATTGGTTGATGACTGAAGGTATTTCTACAGTACAAAGATCAATTCACATAACTGTGAAATTCAACCCTCTTCCCATTACCTAGGCAGTGTGGACTCCAAGCAGCTAGTGAGAGTTCAGATAAGAACAAACACATGATTACAGCTGTCAGTGGAAATGTACACGTTAACCTAGCAAAGAATTTGTCAATAATTACCATCTGTTTACTCTGTCCACATTGTTGCTTAAGCTATAAAATCTCAGGAAGAAGTCTGCCAGAAACGGATGGCATTTATATTAGGAAAGAGTGGAACAGTAATCACACCTAGAGGCAGGGGGCTGGTAGCACAGGGAGGAAGGTTCAGATGCCAAAGACCTGGAAACCTTTGGGTCCATTAATGTCTATGAAGTCAACAGAATCTCTGTGTTCAGATTCATCAGCTCCTCAAGGCACTGAAAGGAATAAAAATTGTCCTAATATGTAGAACATGCTTCCATGAACACAAGAAATTCCAAATTCAACCTGTCTAGTCGTCCTTTGGAAAAGAAAAGCCTCTTTCCTCACACATTTCAGGGCATTCAGTAAAAATCTATGTGTGACTACCACTTACCAGGCTCTGTTCTGCACTTTGAGTAGCACTGGATAATTATTTACACCAGAGGCCAGTCTCTACCTCTGTCCTCGTCCCCTCCCCCCCACATCTCTTTCCCTAGTGAGTCATCTTTTGGAGGTGATGGAAAGCAGCTCAGTGGGATTCCGTGTCTGATGGGTCAGAGCAAATGTCTGCATGCAATCAATAGTATGGACTATTCCTATTCAGCTTAACAGCTACCTGACCAGTAGTAACTATCTGATTCGTTGGAGCCCAGAAAATAAGTATTATACCTCCATATTTTAGTGTTACAGGATTTTAGAGCTGTAAGAGATCTTAGAGGTAATCTAGTCCAAGCCATTATTTTATGATGCTTTTGCTTCTAGGCTAATACTGCACTATGTATAACAGTTCTTAAGCCAGTTACAGAAAATTGTTAGGCGGAACTGTACAAACAGAAATCCAGTCTACAGGCTAGTTGATGTATTTTAGCTTTAACTCATGGAGTTCTAAGGTTGATATTGTGAATTTTAAAAGAATCTCTTATGATATGAAGATTATCTGTAGCTCTATGGGAGGGCACAGGAAACTTCTCTACATCTATGTAGCTGCTGAAAATATCTCTAAGGCTAAGTGTCCTCCAAATATTCCTAGTTTAAACTTGGAAGCAAATATAAACTTCATATTTTACTGACTCATACTTAGGGATAAAATATTTTACTTGTGATAATATTTATTATATTTATATCATATGAATATATTATGTGCATGTACTATAATATTTCTATAATAAACTCTATTATACTATTAAATTAAATTAATTAAATTATAATAAATACTCTATTATACTTTACTATATTTCTTTTGTTGTTTGCATAGTGGATGACCACACACCTAATGGGGAACCAGAGTGATTTGAGACAAAAACAGGTTTAAATCTAGTTATCACAAACTGGTTTAAGGAGGAAAAGAACAGATGAAAGGTCAAGTTCTAGAATCACAGTACCTGAGTTCAAAGCCCAGCTCTGACTCTCAAGGAGCCCCGCAACCTCGGACAAATTATTTACTCTTCTCTGTAAAATGGGGATGATCATAATACTTAGTCAAAGCATTGTTATAAGGATTAAATGAAGTAATTCATTCAACAATCACGTGCAAAGCATCGTTAAGCACTGGGGGTACAGTGAGTAAATGCATGTAGGGGACATTTAATAACCTTGGACTATTTTTATCTAAAAGCACATAAACACAGGCTTAGGGTTGTATACGGAATTTAAGGAAGCTGTGAGCTACAGAAACAGGAATAAATTATTTATGGAGTCTCCAAGACCATGGAGTTGAAATGCTAATGAACATACAATAGTATCCGATTACAAGAGAGTACTGTCTGAGGATCAGAAGCAAAATACACCTGTTGATGGATTCGAGATGTGCATCGAGCAATTTATGCAGTGTATTAATTGATTTTCTATGCAACTGGTTGTTACTCGTTTTAACACTTCTTTCAGAACAACATCTGCGAAAACTTAGAACAGCAATGAAAGCATGAATAAAAAATGAAACGGTGTGACTCATGTGGATGGCTATTTATACTGGCGATAAAATGTTTTTTAAAACAAGGTTACTAAAAAAAAAAAAAAAGACAAGGTTACTCATTCTTTTCTGAGAGGATTAAAAAACCCTTCCATCCGTTGGACACTTCTGTCCCTCCCCAAGAGTAACATTCCCTACAATCATTTGTTTAACTTGTTTGTTGTCTGTCTCTTCCAACCTCAACCCCCAAGAGTAGGGTCACTTACATTGAATACCTTCAGCATCTAGCCAAGCACCTGGCTGTTATACAGTAGACACTTAGATAACATGTTGAATTTCTATATAGGATTCAGTGAAGACCACTTTTTTTTTTATCACATGCATATTCGTCAAGAAATACTTAAGTCAAGGATAGAGGAAAATGTATCTGACCTCTTTAAAAGTGCAGGAACCGGGGCTTCCCTAGTGGCGCAGTGGTTGAGAGTCCGCCTGCCGATGCAGGAGACGCGGGTTCGTGCCCCGGTCCGGGAGGATGCCATGTGCCGCGGAGCGGCTGGGCCCGTGAGCCATGGCCGCTGAGCCTGCGCATCCGGAACCTGTGCTCCGCAACGGGAGAGGCCACAACAGTGAGAGGCCCGCGTACCGCAAAAAAAAAAGTGCAGGAACCTATTTGATGGAGTAATCTGAAATCTCGTACGTTTAAGAGATTAACAGCAGTTATCATCAATTGAGGAAATTCCGCCTCTGTTGAAGAGAACGCTGTGGCTGACCGCGTTAGGGATTTAAGGCGAACTCCCCGCGCTCACACCCCCAAGCAGGGCCTTCCCACGCCTGGACTCTCGCGCGGGGCAACGTGCGCGGCGGAGCGCGCGGGAACCGCCGCATCCTGGGGCACAGCAGCGCCGCTCCGGGTTCCACTCGCATCCTCAGGGAGGAGCTGCCCCCTGCCGGGCCGCCTGGGCACGAGACGCACCTGACGGACACCCGAGGAGCAAACGACCCGAAGCCCGAGGCCCGGGCGGGGGTGGGGCCGGGTCCCCTGCTCACCGCTGCGGGGCCTGATGCCGTCGCCGGCCTTGTTGAGGGCGCTGCTGGAGCAGCCCATCGCGGGCAGGAGGGCGCCCGGTGGGCGAGCTTGGCCCCCGTCCCAGCTCCGCGCGGGCTTGGGTCCCCGAGTCCGGATCCCGCGCGAACCGCTGCCTCAGCACCAGTTCCTCCGACTTCGCGCGGCCGCTCCCGCGGCTGCAGAGCGCAAGCCTGGAAAGGAAAGCGAGCCGCTCTCTGGGGGAAGGAGCCAGGGTGGGGACAGCAAGGACGCAGAAGAGGACAGAGACAAGGAAGGAGCCAGGTAGGGAGAAGGTGGAGAGGGTGGGAAAGGCAGAGAGGAAAAGAGCTTCAGCAGCGACAGGGATGATGTCAGGGAGAAAGAGGGCGAAGGCCTGGGAGGGCTCATCTGAATCATCGCGAAATCTCTGGGGAGGGGAGGAGGCGATTGTAGCCAGTGGTATTGATTGGTGACTAGATTTGTGATGACAGTCTTCTTACATAACTTCAGTATTGTTACCACAAGGAAGTTTAACGTTGATAACATACTATTTAATCCACTCTCTCTTCAGGTGTGGTCAATTGTCCAACTCAGGACCACACTTTGCATTTAGGTGTCGTGCCTCTCGTTTGCTTTAACGAACTGAAGTAGTTCATCAGTCTTTCTTCGTCTTTCGTTTCTTGTTTTGTTTTGTTTTTTCTTTGTTTTGAGAACAGGCCATTTATTTTGTAGAAAGTTTCTGTTTGAGTCTGATGTTTCCTCATGATTGTTTTCAGGTGATGCAGTTTTGTCTGGAATGGGCAGACGTTAGTTGTCTGTGGATTCATATAAAGGGGCACATGATGTCAGTTTGCCCTACTATTGGTGATGTAACTTTTTGCTGCGTGTGGGCTTTCTCTAGGTGCGGCAAGCAGGGGCTACTCTTTTTTTTTTTTTTTTTTTTTGCGGTACGCGGGCCTCTCCCTGCTGTGGCCTCTCCCGTTACGGAGCACAGGCTCCAGATGCGCAGGCTCAGCGTCCATGGCTCACGGGCCCAGCCGCTCCGCGGCATGTGGGATCTTCCCGGACCGGGGCACGAACCCGTGTCCCCTGCATCGGCAGGCGGACTCTCAACCACTGCACCACCAGGGAAGCCTCCTAATCTCCTTTTCTTATACGGACACCAGTCATATTGGATTGACATCATTTTACCTTAATTACCTCTATAAAGGCCCTAGCTTCAAACACAGCCACATTATAAGGTATAGGGAGTTAGAGCTCCAACATACAAATTTGGTGGGGACACGATCAGCTCATAACACCATCATTATTTATTTTGATGCTCAAATTGCCTAAAATTTGTCATATTTCCCTCTATGGGTCGTGGGGTACACAGCTATGGACATTACCATATACTTAGAGGTCTCTCCCTCCCTCCCTCCCTTCATTCCCATCTTCCCTTCTCCCCCTCCCGATGCTGTCTCTATTCTCTCTCTCCATCTTCCTCTCCCTCTCCCTTCTGCAGCGCAAGCCTGATGAAGCCTTGGCCATCCAGCAGTCGGTTCACAAATCCCTTGGTAGGAAGAGGAGACTGGGTATCTTTGAGGAAGTACGCTTCATAACATTACAAATATGTACTGTGATTCTTCTCCTTACCTTCTACCCGGGGTTACTGTGCCCCAAGGAAAGAGAAGTACTTTGAAAGTGGCTAATGATTTGGCTGGATTCCAAGTCAAGAACTGAGAATACAGGATTTGTGCCAGGAAGTTTAAAGGAGGAATGTGGATGGACCTTTCAGAATAAGCCTAGATTTGGGAAATATTTCTCATATAAATGTTATCAAAGGCCCTGTAGAAGTCAGTGTGGGCTGCCATAACAAAACACCATAAACTTGGTGGCTTAAACAATAGATGCTTATTTCTCATACTTCTGGGGCCTAGGAAGTCCAAGATCAAGGTGCTGGCCGATGTGGTTTCTGGTGAGAGCTTACTTTCTAGCTTATGGATGGCAACCTTCTCACTGTGTCTTCACGTGGGGGGTTGCGGAGGGGGGGAGATCTTCCTCTTCTTGTAAAGCCAGAGTGCTATCAGATTAGGATTCCACCCTTATGACCTCATTTAACCTGAGTTACCTCCTAAAGACCCTGTCTCCAGATTGAGCCACTATGCGGGTTAGGGCTTCAACATAGGGCTTTGGGGTGGGCCACAAGTCAGCTCATAGCAAGCTCCCACTTCAGATGATTCTCTTTCTTTTTTTAAGTGAAAGCCACATTTTATTTAGCTAGTGAAAATTTTCAAAACTCCATTGTTACAAAAAGGAATGCAATCACTCACAGATTAAACATAAATACATGACTTGGAATTCTCTGCCTCTTAATGCTTTCGTGCTAAACCAGGGCTTATTGAGCCCAGGTAAGTTCCCCCTTTTCCCCATCAATTATGTTTTAGGAGTTGACTTGGGTATCTTACTTTGCCTCAGAGATAACTTGTTAGTCAAGTCATGGTCTCTTCCATTTCTTTCAGAGGAAGCATTTTATAATCAGGTGAACAGTAATAATCAGGTGCCCCACGGATGTTAGGAGATCTTTCTCACGAGACACCCCAATGCTTGCTCAATGGGCTCAAGTATAAAATGACAAGGATAGAGGTATGTACGGGCTCACACCACTTAACATGGTTTTCCTGGCTGAGTGCCTGATTTGCCAGCAGCAGCAAGAGTAACCAACTGTAAGCCTCTGAAATGATATCCTTACTTTGAAGATCTTGCTTGCAGAAGACTTATTGGACCTCTTTGGGGACAGTAGAGAATCTTTACTGTAATACACACTGGATTAAATTTGCTTTTCCTGCCCATCATGCCTCTGCCAACACCATCAATTAGGGGATGGTATTATCAAGCCATTACACATCCATCAAGACATTACATTCAGCATCATATCTTATCAAAGAACTCACTTTACTATGAGACAAGCAAGGTAATGGGTTAATTTCTATGTGATTTACCGGTCTTTCCATATACCTCATCATCCAGAAGAAGCCAAACCTATAGGATGATAGGGTGGCACTCAGTTATGGCACAGACCTCATATACCTCATCATCCAGAAGAAGCCAAACCTATAGGATGATAGGGTGGCACTCAGTTATGGCACAGACAAGGTGAAGCACCTTTGAAAGTTGGGATGCTGTCCTGAGGTTTGCAGAGTGTGCTCTGAACCAGTGACTAATAAATGGCTGTGCCTCCCCCATGACCAGTATACACAGATCCAGTTCTTGCTCTCCAGGCTTCCTGTTCATTTGGTGAACTACAAAATAAATTCCTTTTCTGCTTAACTGGCTAACTTGTTTCTATTGCTTACAAAATAAGTATCTAAGCTAAGATATAATGCTTACTCTCCCTCCCCTCTCCCAGACCTCACTCATTCTTAGCAATTACCAGTCCTTATTCCTTTAGTCCTATCTTGATAATACGGAATCATAACTGATACTGTGATTTTACAGGCTGATGTGTTACATCTTGAAGGCATAGTTCATAAATCTTTTTTACCTTCAAGGACTCCTTTTATCACTTTTCTTTGACATACCCATGTTATGATGTTGTCACAAAATTGCATTTATTATCTATTTCTCCATTAAGTAATCAGGGACATTTTCTGATCAGCATGACATGCAGTGTTACGGAATTAAATTTTACTTAAAAGAGAAAAAAAAGAAGCCTGTGCATTATAGCTTTATTAAGAATAATAGTATATGTTAGACTTTTCAAATTATTAAAAATAAAACGTAAAACGTCATACTTTTGTGGACCCTTAGAAACACAGGAATCTCATTTAACACTAAAATTTCAAAAACTGACTCTAAGAAATGTAAAACTACTCTACTTTCCAAAAGTGTCACTCCTCCACAGTAAAATAGTGAATAAAGTGCTCTGGGTTCTTTGTATGCAAGAGTATAAAAATATACCCATTTTGAAGAATGGAAAAATTATTTTTAAGAAAATAGGAGAAGGTGTTTCTCTGCCCTATTTTTAACGCAGTGCAGTCTGGAGCATTCCCAGTCTGAACAGAAAGGGGTATAGGAGAAATACATTGGATTCTTCATTATTGTGGAGGCAGAAAGGGTGGAGAGGAATAGGTGGCATTCATTCCCTCTTGTCCTCTATGGGTTCAGAATTCATGTCTCAGTGTATGTATGTTTAGCTAGCTGAAAGGCCACCAACATTCACTGAGTTTACAGGGTCTTTTCACTTGGATTCACAATCCCTCCCTCTCCCTGCTTTATTTCTGAGCATGTTTAATGTCCAGGGTGCCTTAAGAATATGAAGGCTGAGTTATGACAATGAATATGATATATTTAACTGCTTAACAATAAGGGGATGGGCCAGTGTACTGAACCAATGAATAGCAGATGATCTTGTTGGTATTTGCTCTAACAGGGAATGCAGCCTGTCACTTTTCATTCTCATAGCAAGTAAAAACCAGAAGCACAATAAATGCAGGTGTCTGCAGAATTCTCAGAAATTTAGAGCAGTGATTTTGGGGAAGGAAAACCAGAGAGCCTTGTGTGAATTCTGTCCTGTCACATTTACCTGTTGGTATTCTTTCTAAATCACTCTGAAATGCTACAGACTAGCATCCAGAAAAAATAAAATAATGTCTGAATGGCAAAGTCCTTTCTTGAAACATATAAATTCCTCGACTTTTTGGTATGAAGATTTTCAAACTCACAAAAAGTTGAATAGTACGATGAATCCCTGTATGCCCCCCATGTGGTTTTTCATTTTTATTTTTTAAAATATTCTTTTTTTTTTTTTCCTGTAGTTTTACTTATTTATTTATTGGCCATGCTGTAGGGCATGCAGGATCTTAGTTCCCTGACCAGGAATCAAACCCAGGCCCCCGCCGTGGAAGCGCAGAGTCTTAACCACTGGACCACCAGGGGAGTCCCACCTCACCGCCCCCCCCGCCCCCCCGCACTGTAAAGTCAAGAGTTGTTAACATGTTGCTGCATTTGCTCTACCTACTTGTTTATCTACATTTATTTTAGGATTTTCTTTACATTTATTTTAGCAATTTGGAAGTAAGTTGCAGATATTATGACACTTCATCTGTAAATACTTCAATACACATCTCTTTAGAATAATGACGTGACTTAAAGTAGCTATTTTTAACGAAAGTAATAGTAATCTTCTAACACAGGGGTCAACAAAGTATGGCCTGCAGGCCAAATCCTGACTTTGTAAATAAGGTTTGACTGGAACACAGCTGTGCTCATTCATTCAATGAATGAAATTCACTCATTTACATACTGTGGCTGCTCTTGTGCTACATCAGCAGAGTTAAGTAGTTGCCAAAGAGACCATAT